TAGCGTAAAACAATTTTTTTTTTCTTTGCGAATTTCCATTTTTTTCTTTGCGAATATAAAAAAATCGGTGGCACTGAAAATGGCAATAAAAATGCATAAGGAGTTACGAACATTTGTAATACACATAGTTTTGAACTGTAGACTTGCACACATAACATAGACCGAAAGCTATATTACACAAAAGCTAATGGGAATTTCATCACGAGTCAAGTACTCTCTGAGCTGAGAACAGCATGAATCATGGGGCGCACTTGGAATGCAATATGTATCCGTCAGGTTCAATGAAACAATAAAATACCAGTGGTAAGTCGATCCTAGTCATTGACTGCTCAGATCCCAGAATACATTTTTGTTATTTCTTATTTCTGTTGCTTTGTACGGATTACTTTTCTTTTTCGTACTGGCGTTTTGAACTTTAGATCTCTGCAAAGAAAAATCGTTCCAATTTTTTTCCTTCTTTTGCTCTATTTTTCTCTCGTTTCTTGTTCGAACATATGTAAACGATCAATGCATCGCAATAATCATAATAATTTTTCTTAAGAAGGAGAAGAAGAAAAAAATACATGGAAAAATCACTTGCGATGGGCCAATCGTGATCTCATCTCTTAAAATAGACTCTCGATAGAATCATGTTGTAATGTAACACACTTTTGTTCTGTGTGATCATGCAGAAGTCATATGATGATTGCATGCGTAAAATATTTTTCGCTATTCGATCTTTTCAAATCTCTTTCAAGCTCGTTCGTCTTCTTTGCGCGTTGATTCTTCTTCATCGTTGTCGTCGTCGCGAATTTTTTTTATTTATACGTTCTATTACGAATACAAAAGAATGTGCAAAAATTGAAAATGAGAAATACAGCGAATATAACCACTTACACTCACATATAAAAAAAAATTCGGGATTTTTTTTATCGCTCCCTCTCTCTTTTTGGTGTGTCTCTCACTCTGTATGTGTATATATGTGATTGCGTTTTTCAATTCTCGCCAAATATTATTATTTCGATGAGAATGAAGAGAGAGAAGAATGCAGAGGAAGAAAAAGAATAACTACAGTGAACGAACGAATGAACGTGTGCGCGTCCGTTTTTTTTTGCTTTCTCAGTCTTATTTGTGTTAAATCTGTTTATTGGGTATTTTATATGTTCATTTTATGTTCACACATAACTTATTTGGCTGCTAAAATTCACGGATTCAGAGTGGAGAGTCGCAGTTCGTGCTCCTGGTCTATGGTGTGTATATCGCGTTTCAAATGAGTTTTTAAAAAAACACACAGCTGCATATATTTCACGAATGAATCCACTTTTTTCGTCATCTTCTCCTTGAGATTGTGTATATTTTACATGTATATATATATTTTTTTTGTTTCAGTCTTTTGAACTCAAGTCACAGAGACATGCAATGCGCGAGCGACCGTATGTGTGAATGGGGTAATGGACTTCGTCGAAACGCCTACATTTACAATACCTACTGTGCATTCAATACTAAAAAAACGTATTTCTTCTTATTATTATTGTTGCTGTTGTTTTTTCGATTTTTTTCTTCTTCTTCTCAATAAGACTTTGTTCTGACTCTTTATTTCAACTTGTCGTTTTGATTTTTCGTGCTCATTTATCACCGACGAAAACTGCGTGCGCATGTTAAAAACGCCACTCTTTCTGCTTGGCAACTAAAGCACTAACAATCACGGATTGAATACTATGACGCTTCTTTTTGTTTATTCCTTTTGTTCATTCAGCGCGACCTGTTTCGCATTAACATTTTTTTCTTCACAAATCATCAGCATTTTGGCCAAATGCTGCAGTTATTAACATTCCAAACTGCGATAGATTGAGCGGTTTTTTTTATTTCACCATAAAACCACAAATCAGAAGAGTCAAAAACCTCCCGAAAAAAACCAAAATGACATATTATGTACGTCAACAAAAAGTCACTTCCAATGTCAACAAATTGTTTAATTTATACACTGTACTCGCATCTAACCGCATACACACATAAATCGCTAACAAATTAACAGCCAACGGAACATGAATATGTGAGCGGTTTATTTGTTTCCGTTGTACTTTTTTCTTCTTCTTCTTCTCCAACTCGAGTGTGAGATGTGAGTGTGAATCATTTGGTGATAACACATATTGCGAAATTCCCCCCATAAAAATCAAATTCCATTCCGATTTGTTTTCCTTCGTTGTGCGATTAAAAAAATTTAAATCGTTTCGAAGAATTCGTTGTGTCAACATGGATTTTTGCAGCATGACTTAATGTGATTTAGATAACGCACACAATAAACAAAATTATCGGCGAATGTCAGCGAAGAACTAGTCTAAATTGTCGCTGAAATGATCAATTTTGACAATACAAACATAAATACAGAGACGATGCAGCGTCCACATAAAAAGAAGCGTCATCATATTTCGACCGCGTCTGAAAACTATTTATTTGTTTTGGCATATTTAATTACAATTCAACTTTATGCGAAACCAGCAAAATAAAACGCGATTTTACACAGCGACATAACAAGCGAAAGAACGAAAAAATAGTGTGTGTGCAATTTTGTGCCAGACACGCGTTTCTCAAGCGCAATATTTCACTATTACCACACAAACATCAATGTTTTAAAAAAATATTATAAAACGACGAAATTTCGTTGAAAATTTTATGAGTCAAACCACCCATGAACAATAGCGTCGGAATAAAAACGTTGAAGGATTTCTTTATTAATGCGCGCCCACCCAAAAATCATCTCTTGTACTTGTTGTTGCTGTTTTCGCCTTTTATTCGGTTGTCGTGTTTCGTGTGAACAATTCATTTCTATTTCGAAAGTCATACATAAAAGGCAGATTATAAATATGCGCGCACACATATTGATCGATCTGAAATTTATTACAATGCTTAAATTTGGACCGATATTGAGACATACATTTCCATGTTGTTCACAGTAATTGAAGTGAAAAAATAATTATTTCAATAGCATCAGCGTGACCATTGAATTACGCCTGCTGGATAATCATAAAGTTTTATCGTTGTGCAAAAAAAAACCGATTTTTCGTCGAATTTGTGTGAGTGTTTACCCAATTTTAAACGTGACCAAACATGCACATGTTTGTCATAACGATATGGCAAACGCAAACACATCTATTCTATTATCAAGCCTGTGTCAAAGTGTGACATGTATTTCGAATACATGCGAAAATGAAATCATCCGCAAGCCGAACAATATTTACTGTTTTTTTATATTTTCTGTTTCAAACTTTCCACTTCGTTTGTCACTACATTTGCGACGTCAATTGTTAAACTTACGATCAACACGTCGATCTTCAATCAATCGAAACTAGATTTTCGCTTCAGTTAGGTCGTATGTCAGAGTGACGAAGAAAAAAGGGCACCAACTTTTATTTTAAGTGATTGCAAGAGAGGGAGAGAGCCAAACATATCCTCGAACTCTATTAAATTTAATAATAGTTCAACAGGTCCTCAATATTCCCGGCACATTTTTAATTCAGAGAAAAAAAATTTCAATGACTTACAAATTAAAGTCAATGTGACTTTGCCCGCAAAGTCTAATGTCGCATATATATATATTTTTTTTTAAACAGAAAAAGCAAGCAAAAGTTTGCTGTGTTTGCGAACGCGCGCCATTGTCTGTCATTGTGAAAGCAAAAGTATTACGAGAGTGACGAAAAAAAACCACTGATACAAACCAATACTCGTCTAAGTTTGCACATTTGTTTTCAGTTTTGGCCTAGTTTCGAATTCAGCAAAGTCGCATTTGTTGATTTTATTGAGGCGAAAAACTGAGCAAAGAACGTACGTAAGAAAGAGAGAAAGTGACATGATTTTTTTGTTTTGAGAAACAACAAACAAAAGAAAAATGGCAAACCTGTGGCGAAGCACACGTCATTTGCAAGAGCCAAAACTAATTTCGACATCCCTAAATTTGGTTTGATTGTGTGGCTCGTACATGATTAGCGGCACATCACAACTGGGGCTTTTTGGCGAATGGGTAATTTGTCATCATTACACAAAAAGACCGCTTGAAAATAACCGCTCACGAAACTCGAAACCATGTGTGTGTATGTATACTTAATAAATCTACTTTCCACTCATTTTTTTTTTTTGCGAAAGGTGAAAACAGAGTGAATTAATGACTTACTCCAAATGTAATATACGTTGGACAGACGGACAGTGTGCGCACAACAGTTAGGAGAAGTTTGAATGAGCGCATGCAATGACAAAATGATACGTACGTATTATCATACTAACCGGACGATTTCAAAGAATGAAGAAGAAAAAAAATTTACATTTTTATTGCCATTTATCGAAAATTACCAGTCGCCATAATACCGTTTTGGATAAAAAAAAAAACTTTTGTCATTCGGTCATACAAACATGTTAATATATCATTTTGTTAAGTGCGCGCCGAATTGAATTATATTATTTTATGTTTTATTCAACGTACATCGTCAAGGCCTGTCGTAAACCGTATGGCGGCGGCTACAACTATTTTTTTCATGCCACATATAGAAGAATAATTGAAATAACAACGCCAACAGAGAGAAAATAGAAAGAGTCACAGTTAAATGGGGGGAGAGAGAGAGAGAGAGAGAGAGGGAGAGAGAGAGAGGGAGAGGAGAAGAAATGGAAGACGAAACTGCTGAAGATTCTTCAATGGAAAGAGATCAAGGTCGTTAAAGTGTAACGACTGGCTCAAATGATTGATTCACTTGACAACAAAAACGAATAGATCACACTTGCGCCACATGCAAACATCCAACTCTCTCACGGTTCTATCATTGATTTCGCATAAAAAAATTTCTATTTTAACATTGATACTTTTTATATGTATGCCAATAGATTATTCATTTCTGAGAGACAGAGAGACACACATGCACATAGATAGAGAAATCTATTCGACGAATTTTGCGATTGTTTTTTTTTTATATATATCGAGACGGTTTTTCCATAATAAAATATAAATCGATGTTTTTTCTTGGAATTTTTTGCAGATTTTATGAATTGGCTTTGTTCTTCATTTGTTTGCTTCAATAATACCTGGCACAGACGACGCCGCCGTCGCCACCGACAACAGCCCGAGCGCACACAATGGGAATTAGGCTGCGATCAACTAATTGGTAAATAACCACTCCGAGGTAGAGTACATGAGCATTAACCGAACGTTATCATAACGGAAAAACCATGTAATTATACACAGTCCAATCAATTGTCTTTTTTTTTCTCATTTTATATTTGTTGCTTTTTATTTGTATGTGTATGCGTTTTTTCTGACGTGATAATTTAATAATATAATTAACATCGAGCGGTTGGAAGAATTCACCTCGTTTTGACCTCAATGTTAAGCGTTATCATTTAACACTTCTCGAAAAATAATATAATTGAAATAAATGAAAATGAAAGCCTTGGCATTTGATGAATTAGATCACGCACCATCAAGCAATTTCTTTGTACGCGTTATTTTTTTTTATTACTTCTCGTTAAAGCTTTGTCTCCATGTCTCACACACACTTTCTTCGTGACTCTCTCATTCATGCTGCGCCTTCTGTCTCATTGAATTTCTCAGTTACATCGACAGCTGCACAAACACACTTGAATTGATTAATGTAACAAATAAAAATGTAATTCAGTTTTCTTATCCATCGTCATATTTTAATTGAGAGATCCGCTTCACATAGAACTATCGCAATATGGCGAATTAAAATTTCAATCTCGATTTTGCGCAAAAAAGCGTATTTGGTGCGAATATAATACATTTTGTTCAAAAGCAATTATTATCGAATTTCACATACTAGAGCTAGCCATTAGAATGCTGTCACCATTAAAGAAATGAACGAAAAAGAAGAAGAATAACGTCCACCAACACGTTGGTCGTCGATTTGGTTGTCATGCGAATGACGTCATTGATGGAATTGGCGATGGAGTATAATGTTTATAATTCAGTCGGTATTCATTTCGAAATATATTGCTTGCACGCGTTTGCACGTCTACATATACGAATGCGGTGCCATTTGAATAATTTTGTCAATATTTTTTTTTTCTTTTTCGCCTTATTTGGCAAGCGCGTCCGGTTTTTTATTTTGTTACACACCAAAAGAATACGGCACACATCAATGTTTGCGATGTATAATTTTCGCCAAGCATATTTCCATAAAAGTCAAAATTGTGTGTTCGTGTACAGATATTGTGTATTCACTTCAGTTGTATACATGGTTCATGTATGTCGACGACATTCAAATTAATCCGCAATCGATAGAGATATGGCACGGTCATACACACACATACACAAATGAGTGAGCGAGTGTAGCATTTGATTTGCAATTAATAATTTGTTGTTGTTGTTGTTTTGTATTTCATTCTCCCTCGTCAGCGTGTGACAGTCATATGAAAAAGCCAATAAACTTTTGTCTGGCGACCTTCAAAGTCCTTTTATGGGTTCATTCAAACGCTGATTGCCATTGAATTGCCAAACTCTACCCTCAATGGTGTACGTACGTGTACATTCACACGCTAAACAGTTTTTTTTTGTTTCGTTTCGTATATTCGCTGTAGCTCTTTCGATTGTGTCAGTCGAGGCGAGAAGCATTTGTGTGTGTGTTCGGTCTTGCCAACCAATGAGTGCACACACACGGCTTGGTGTGGCTCATGCACACAGCTCATTCAATTCAAATAAATTTCAATTCAACAACCTCATCACATTCACACTTGAGATCTTTTTAACATCGTCAACATAAAATATATTTGAGCATTTTGGTATCGTAGAGAAAGAGCGAGAGAGTGAGACGCGTTTACCTTGTCACATATCAAATTTCAGCCAGCGACCGCATACCAAAACTTGATTCGCCTTCATTTCGCGCACCATTTACCAATATATAAACGTTAAGTGTAGACCGCGGTGCGATTAATTTAAAGCCATGAGCTCAAGAATTCTCTGGGTTTTTTTGTATGAAGATTACTTGAATTATATGTATATGACTCAACAGTCAATTTGAAATCTAGTATACTGAATCAACACATGCTCGGTCGTGAGTGCAGAGAAAAAAAGTGAAGCAAAAAAATGATATCATACACATACACACGTACACTTGAAACAGACACAGGGCAATAATATGGCAAGAAAAAATATGCGAACGATGTAGGTGAATATTTGCTGTTGCTGGTGCAGTAGATAGCTAATGAACGCACACTTTCATTGTAATTACAAACATTTCCGTTTTCTGTTTCGTTTTGTTGCTGCTCTTTGCGAATTGAGAACATATTTTCTTTCCCTGCTTCAAAGTGTCTATCTGTCTTTTTTTCTCTCCCACTGTATCTCTTAGTGTCGGTTTAATCTTTTTTCAGCCTGCATGCACTTGATTGCCAATTTCAAAGTATGTGCACTTTAAAAAAACCTTATTCAGCGGCGAATGTTCACAAATTTTACTCGAGAAAAAAAAATTGTTTCATATGAGGCTTTCGTTTTGATACGATTTACTTAATACATGCATACATAATAATAATTATTATTATATTATAAGTTAATTTATAGTTTGGGCCATGTTTGGAGGGCGGTGCTTCTCTCACAATTGGAATTCCAGTAGAGAAGTGCAGTTGTAGCGAATAGTGGGTTGGTGGTCTCGTTCTTTCATTTTTATTTCTTTCTTTCGTTCTTTCTCTCATTAACATTTAATCAGACATTAAATTGAGATATTTTCGGGCAGCTCAGGACGCTCAGGAAGCCAACGTCAGGCGCTCAGTGAACACTCACACTTCTATTTGTTTCACTCCATTTCAGCGCCTGACGTTCGCTTCCTGAGCTGATTCAGCTGGCTCTCGATAAAATGTCCGCATTTAACGTATGTATTGACCGTTTGCTTTGTGTGCGATCGCTTCATTTGTCCAGTTCGCTTTTCGATTCATTCCAGCCGCATCGAAATTGGCGCATACGAAGAATAATGATCTGTTTACGCCATAAAGAATTTCGATTATTCAAATATATTCACAACATACGAATGGATTCATTAAACTAACGCTAAAATTATTGAAACAACTTAATCGAGTGTGTATCAAATGGTAAAAAGTTCAAATTCAGTCAAAATTGATGACAAATTCAAATTGTTAACTTTTATGGACTTAGCTCCAATCCACTTGAATACTAACGACAATCGATTCAATTAATTCACACACATGAAATATAAAAAACTGTCACATTTGATTGTTTGAGCTATAAATTGAATAAATGTTGCCGTCCGTAAAGAAAATTTTACCATATTGCGTGTTGTCTACAATTTTTTATTCATCGAGCCACTAATTGCCTCTGAACGATGCGCACACAGTTCAAAATTATCACAAATGACGAATCTGATTCGCTCCGGCGATTGAGAAATGAGTTTCACACGATGAATATATGAATGAATTGGTACAAAACCATTTCAAGCAAACGGATGTATGTAAAACGGTCTCGTCGAAATCTTAATTTAAATTATAGAAATGAATAAGCGACGCAGCAGAATAAAAAAACACCGGATAGAAACATATGACACACAGAAATGTTCAAGCCACTTACATATTCTCAGGCACAGTCGTAAAAAAAATTCAACAAAAATTTAGTTTGAAAGGATACTTTTTGGGTTAATGATTCGGTTCCTTCGTTTTGCGATTCTAGATTCATCTTGATAATGGGAACAAATTTATATCACATGGAAGTAATAATTTGTTTTTGGTTTGAACACAATGGAAGTGAGTCTTGATGATCTCTAGCATTTAATTAGTATTTTATGACACAGATTTTATGCACATGTGAAATGCCATTCAATATACATGTATCACATTTTATTTTTCGTTTTTTCTATTTTTAAAATAATTTGAAGGAGAAAAAATTCGCTTGATATTCCGCGCTGCATTAAATCGTAAAATTAAATTGAACGCTAGAGATGATTTTCAAACTGTGTAAGTGCGATTGAGGGAGACGGAGATAGTTCTGGCTAGGTTTTAAATTCAGTGATCGGTGAGAATGTTTTCGGTATAATTTGCTGGCGCTTGGGTGATAGTTCCAAGAATAGAATCGCTTCTCTTTCCCTCTCTCTCTCAATTTTTCTTTTGCTCTCAAAACATGACATCGCTTGTATTGCCGATGTTGATGATGAAATGTGAGTTGGTAACAACGACGCTGGCTAGTTGCCGGGTTGACATTGTTATCGCTTGAACTACAAAATGGTATGCGGTGAAACGTTGTAACACGATATATGCTAATAATGCATGCTGAAACACAGAGACATTGGGTGTAGAATTGACGCGACACTTGAGCAAATATTCCGAACCGACCGATGTTTTTAGTTGAGAGAGAATTTAAAGAGAGAGAAAAAAAAGGAAAACAGAAAGCCCATTAAGCGCGTCGAAAGCAGTGCTCAGTGACAATTATAATACATACATCTGAAACCATACCGCTGTACCCTGCGACTTAGACCAATCTACACAATGGCTTATAAGCTGTATCTATTCATTAAATTATTATGCTGCTAACATTTTGCATTTCAAATGCGTACATTTAAGTACTAAACCTGTTATGTGGCGTGGAATCGGCGCTAGACACAAGCTTAGATTTCTGTGTGGCGACGCTCAGTTTTGTGCGGCGTTTCCGATGAAGTGGATCGATCTCAAACAATCCAAACGACGATTAAAACAAAGAAAAAAACATAAAAGAAACAGGCAATCAAATAAAACCGCCTCTGACATAATCAGAACGCAACTTTGACAATTTTTTTGTAATTAGTTTTTTTTCGCTTAATTTTCTCTATCTCCTTCAACAAACGAATTTCAATTCTTCAATTCAATGTGTATTATTTCAAACAAAACCATTTCAAATCGTATACATTATTAATTAAACGAAATTTCTGTTTATTTTTTTATATATATTGCGTTTTCTTCTTTTCTCCATGACAATCTAGTGTCCATCCAGGCTTACAGTGCAATGTGATGTGCATCCGGTTCAACGGAGTACGAATCGGGTTTATACATATATATTCTGTTTTCAACTAATATACAATTTTACTAATAAATATTTGAATAGCCTAGCTGTAGCGATGAATTACAAAGCACACAAACGCGCATAAAAAGAAATATTGTCATTCAACGGGCAGACAGATGGAGAGAGAACTCGTTTGAATTGGTTTGCAGTGGAATTTCTATGTGTGAGCGCGCGTTCGATATCTCCCTCTCTTTCTCACTGTCGCTCTCTCACTCACTCTCTCTCTCTCTATCTCAGCTTCTTGCTAATTCTTCTATGCTTCGCGCGCTAAGCAGGGACCATGGCTTTGATAATTTTTTTTTGCATAAAATACGCGACTATCTGTAATAAATTTACTAGTCAGGTACCTGAAGTAGCGCGCGCAGACTAGAAATGAAGTCATCAAGGAATATTAGCAAAACGATCACGACGATCACTTGGTCAAAAATTACTGTTGCTGCCACTGTTGCTGCTGTCGTTGCTGCTGTTGCTGAAATTTACGGTCTACTCATTAATCAATTGGAGGTATAGCTCTTCGTCGTCTCTTTTTTTTCTCCATCCTCTTTCTTTTTATTTTATGATTATTTCACCTTTCCATTTGTTTCTTTTCGTTTGATTTTTTTCTTGATTTTATTTTCATTTCAGTATCTTTTTTATGTGGATGATTTTTGTTAGCCTAATTTCTCACATCAGTTTCGCGATTTTTTCGCGAACATTTTAATTTAGTCCCATGTCTATTGTACTTCATCAGGTGCTCTGGTATTATTCGAAACCCGGCACGTGTTGGAGTACACTCTATGTGGTGACCAATAGCAACATATTCGACTTTTTTGCGTGAGCTCTTCCTACTTTACATTGATTTCGTTCGTTTTTTTATTTCTTTACATATATATGTATACATTTTTCCGTATTGAATTTCAATGGAAATGAATAAAAAAAGAGAAAGAATTTGCAAACAATAACAAAAACACCGTCGTTTTGATGAAATTGACGATTTTTTTCAGCACTTTTCAGATTTCTTCGTGAGAGATAATAAAACCTTGTTTAAATACAACTCTTTGTGTACCGTTATAAATAATGTGGTCTTTAAATCGATTAGAAACTGCGTCACGAGAGCGATATAGCGATAAAGAATTTTAATTTCAATTCAAAGCACTTGATCGATATAAATCAATTGGAATGGAAACATTTTCGGTGAAATTGATTTAAATATCAATAAATCTTCAGTCTTTCTTTTACAATTGAATCGATTTATTTTCGGTTTTTTTATTATCTTTTTCAAATCAATCAAACTTTCGTGCACAACCAATCACATTTTTCGTATGATGAAATTTTATTTTTATTTCGGTTGATATTTGTGATTGGAATACACCGTTGAATCACGTCATCGACTAAAGTTGCACACAATCGCTTCAGTTTCTTGAAATGTCATTGTAAGCAATTAAAAAAATGGAGTTCTCTTCATTTTTCGAGCCACACTATGCGTGTTGAATATATTTCACAAAACAAAGCTGATTATCGCATTTTTTTCTCGCTATCTTTTTTTCGGCTACTGTAAGTACTTCATTTTGAATTCAAAGCACTACCGACACGATTCGGCTGACGTCATATGAGCTGCCAAAAAAAATATTTCAACATTTGTCACTTTAAAATGCGGCCGAAAAACGTGCCACCGAGAACGACGACGGCAACGGCCTGCCAAATACCATTCCCATAACTACTTTCAATGTTTTTTTTATTACAATATGTGCGATCGGCATAAAAATGCTACTTTTTTTGTTATAACCAGCCTATAGGTTGGCATTCTTCGTCTTTCTTTCTTTTTTCTTCATTGTCTTTGAAGAAGCGAAAAATGCCAGAGGTGAGCTGTGATTTATTGCATCAATTTAAATGTAATATCATCATAGTCAGAAACATGTTATGCTCTTTGTATCTTTTTTTTCTTCTTCTGTTTAATGATAAATTATGAGTCTCGTTGAGTAAGCAATTAAATTAATGAGAAGTGCACGTCGCAGGTACAGTAAGATCTGAAATTCAAAATCATGCACAATTATGAAATTCGGACAAGATAAATTGACCAAATTAAGAACTTTCCACCCGATGTAACATTATACACGTCTCGGTGACAGACTATAAACACATCAAACAATTTTCGAATTAATTGAGTGAATTGGTCATTTATGTGTTGAAATTTATTTTGAGGTACTTTAATCAATTTCATCAGCTTAGAATTTTTTTTTACATACAACAAATCTGTATTTTATTTTTCATTAAATTTTGTTGATAATTGAAAATTAAAAAAAAAAAATGAAAAATTCTTTTTATTCAGAAAACATTTGTTGTTTAAGATGATTGAAAAATTTTAAGTTTTCGTTTAAATTTCACATTCTTGAAAGGTCACACTTTTTGAAAAAAAAAATTCAAACTCGAAAATCTAAACGAATTTCACAAAGAATAAACTTTTTTTATGGAGTGACTACATCAAATTAGACATTTGTGCCAAAAAGTTGTTTTTCTAGGTGTGAAAGATATGTTCTTTTTTATTAAATTTTTATAGGCTGTTTTATTATCAAAAGAAGCTAAAATGGTCTATTTTTTGCAAATCATCTTATTCTGGGGGCTTTGCAAACGTTTCACATCGCGTCATTATCTTAATTATGAAATATTATTTCATCGTGTTAATGAACTTTGAAACAGATGAACACACACACACGCTTTCTTGAGAATGAGAAAAAAAGAGCGATTAAACAGAACTTCAGGATTGGCTGTGCACACAATATGTGAATGTGAATGTCTTTCATCAACTGGAACACGTGCAAATTCAAATATACTTTCTGTTTTTTTATTATAAATAGAGAAATTTAAAATAATTTATCTAAAAATAGAGAAAGTGATATTTTTAAGCATTAAGTACGCAAATGATTTGTTCTGTGCAGATCATCGTCAATTCTTGGAATATATTATACATGTGTTGATGCTTTAGCTGGGTACACTTTATTCAATTCAAAGCCATTTGATATCGTTTTTATGGAAAGAGATTTTACAAATAAATTATGGCAATTTCATTTACTTTTTATTGTCTGTTAAACATACTCTGTTTTCAAAGCGCAAAGATAAGATAAACACTCTAAATAGACCGCTACAACTTTGTACTATATATTCCAGATCAAAATGAGTTTGAAATCAAAGATTTTTACTCGAAAAACATGGCATAAGTTTCAATTTCAATAAATAAATAGTTAGAAACAAAGGGAAACTAAAATATTTCATAATTATGACAGGGATTGATACAATCATCACATCCGTGATTTGGAATGCTTGTTCTCGGTGAGAATTTCTGCCAACCATAAGAAGCTTGTTAAGCAAACAGAAGACGCTGTAAAATGAACACATTCTGATAAACGGTTGAATTCGAATTCAAGCTTTAATGTTATTTCACATAGTTCACACATAGATGGCATTTACACCTTGTCGATTATAAAGTGCAATAGTGTTTGTAGATAAAATAACAATAAAATAGATATTTGAGTATACAGTGTATACTATAGAATTTTGAACTTTTCCTAATATACAATTTAAATCTAGACAGCTGTTTTTTTAAATATTTGGAGGATTGTTTGGAACCAAGTTCAATTCCACTTATGTGAAGTGTTCTATCTGACATCTTTATCAGATTAATTTATTTATTTCATCAATTTGATTAAATTGTTTACGTCAATTAAGGGTAATTTTCCTAATTCTGACCTACTACTCCACTTTTTGGCTTAGTATATCAATGCTATTTTACATATTATGAAGATGTAGCAATTCTTTAGTGAATTCTGATCTTTTTTTCGCCTAATAGAAAAGACACATCAAAAATATTTTTTCTTCGTACAAATAAAAGATTTGGACTTAGGTTCGAATTAGGCAGTCTTACCATTAGATTCAGTTATAATAATAATAACAACAACAACAACAACAAAAATTATAATAGATTATTTTAAAGAAGTATAAAAAGTCAATTCCTAAGTCAATCGAAAGTTTTAGGTAGTTTGGTAAAGATGTCAAAAATACAGTTTCTATTTCTTTTTATTTGTGCATTTTCGGTTTTATTTTTAAGCGTATGTGCAAAATCATTCAATGGGTCAGTATTCAAATACAGCTTATTTTTATTGTGGATGAAAACGATCGAGACAATATCATCTCTGGTGAAAATGAATCGTCTAGAATAAAAGTATATTATCTCAAAAAGTTTCTAAATTCCAATAAAAGAACAAATTAAAATAAGAGCTCTCCTCGATAAATGAGTGGCCAAATCTTAGTAATTAATTACCGAACATTTTCTGTGTGTTTCCTTAATAAAAAAAATCGCATCTACTACTTGTGTTTGTAGGTTGGAAGGCTATAGAAATGAATCCCGTTTGTTGTCAGAAAATGACCTTGACTTTGATATGCTGTTGTTTATACAATCATGGCCAACGGTAGCTTGTGTGAAAAAAATGGATGGAAATACCGACTTTGAATGTCTATCGCCTCCGAAAAATGAGACCTGGATTATTCATGGGCTTAGGCCGTACAAGTTATATGGAAGCGGGCCATTGCTTTGCGGCAACTCATCATCATTCGATCTTGATTCCTTGAAGCCATTTATGGATGAATTGCTGCTAAACTGGTTCAATTTGAATAAAGGTTATATAAACTGATTTTTTTTTTGAACACATACTTTGTGCGTGTGCACGAATTGTGCTATCGTTATGAATTTGTTATCAGGCACTTGAATTTTGATCTTTTATTTGTTATATTGAATGTTCAAATGAAAAAAAAGGCCGAACATGTGTTTTTTTCTGTTACGAAACCATCTACGATAGTATTTTACTCCACAGTTATGATTTTGCCAATGATTTCGAAACGATTTAATCCCATTCACAGCTAGTTCTTCTGAGCAGCTCTGGAGGCATGAATGGTTGAAATATGGAACATGTTCCAAAAAACTTCCGGATCTGGATAGAGAAGCGAAATACTTTGGTCAAGGTTTAAAATGGTTTCAGCAATACAATGCTAAAGACTTACTATCAAAAGCCAATATTAAGCCAGATACACCGTACAAATTCATTGATTTTTATGATGCCTTGAAAAATAAATTGAAAATCAATCCAAAAATTGTGTGTCATAGAAAACCGGACACTGGTGAACAATATCTGTCGGAAATCGGAATATGTTTTGGCAAAACATTAGAATTGGTCGATTGTATGCAATCAGAAAATTTAACTAGCAATACCACTGTAATGACAGATGAAATTTTTACAAATTGCAATTACAAACAACCAGTTCTATATGCGAGCACATTGCCAACAAGTTCTAACAGGTAAAACATAAGTTATTTGGTTGAATTGATTGCTCTAGAATAAAAACAGCATATTAAATGGTTGCATACCAAAGCGAAACCAGACATTTAATATGCTGTTTTTTCAATTGTTTGTTCGGTTTTACTCTAACACAAAGAAAAAGAGTTTTTGAAGTGAAAATTCACAAAAAGGTCAAATTATGGATAAACCATAAATACCATGCCATGCACAAAAAATACCAGAGAAGAACAAAATCCGAATCTTATTATTACGATTTGTGTTTGCAGATTAGAAAACCATAGAAATGAATCCCATTTGTTGTCAGGAAATGAATTTGACATACTGATGTTTATGCAACAATGGCCTACTGGATACTGTATTAACAATAATGAGTGCATACCACCACCTGATAATGAGACTTGGGGAATTCATGGGATTTGGCCGAACAATCTGGACGGAAGTCATCCATCATTTTGCAGCGATTCATCTTCATTTGATATTGAATCTTTAAAACCATTTATGGACCAATTGAAACAAAGCTGGTTTAATTTGATGAGTGGTAATGCGATACATATGTTTTTTACACCAAATTTTAGTTTAACAATGAGTTATGGGACAAAATACTATATTTTGATCCACAACTATCTGTTGTGGTTTTATTAACGTTTTTTTTATTTCGATTCAATCCCATTCACAGGATCATCTGAAGAAATTTTTTGGCGACATGAGTGGTTAAAGCATGGAACATGTGCTGTAAGTCTTCCGGAACTGAATACAGAAGCGAAATATTTTGGACAAGCTTTAAAATGGTTCCAAAAATACCATATTAAAAATTTACTCTCGCAAGCCAATATTAAGCCTGGCACAGACTACAATATTATTGATATTCATAATGCACTGAAAAATCAATTGAATATTAAAGCAGTAATACGTTGTTATTGGAATAAAGACAATAGTAAACAATATCTGTCGGAAATCGGAATATGTTTTAGCAAAACATTAGAATTGGTCGATTGTATGCAATCAGACAATTTAACTAGCAATACCACTGTAATGACAGATGAAATTTTTACAAATTGCAATGACAAACAACCAGTTCTATATGCGAAAGAGGTGTAATGCGCTCAATAAGCGTAATGCTTTGTTTGCCGAACTTCGTATAGACAGTGCCATCTATATATAGAATGGGATATTATTTCACAAGTTTGAGAATGAGCGCATATGTTATTCCAAAAATTGTTGAAAAATAATTTAATAAATTGTTTCATTTTTTTGTTTTGAAAGTGAAGTTAGCACAATTAGCATTAGATAATTTCTATTTAAAAAAACATAAATTTATGTGCGTTTTAATTTAACTTAAAAAGCCTCGAGTGTAGAGTGTGTAGATCTTGTAGAAATGATTTTGTTAAAATCTCCATACGTAAACTCATAAGTGTGAGTGTGACATTTGACAGATAGATACAAAACGTAATGTTATTGTTCTCTTACATACTTGTCATACACTCGTGCGAATTATTCTGTTCTGTTAAGTTCGTTTATTCCGTTCATTTATTTTATTTATATTCTTAATCTCGCAATCATATCGCAAAATTGCGTAAAAATGGCAGATTCTATTAACAGTTTTATTGATCTTGACACCGGCTGTATAAAATATCCTGATGGAGACTTTACTTTTATATTAAGCTTTATTCTGTTTAGTTCGCCAAAAGATAGAGTGAGGGCGTTAGTGTGACAGATTTCATATAAAAAAAGCTACTGTATTAGAGATCTTATATGCGAGCACATTGCCAACAAGTTCTAACAGGTAAAACATAAGTTATTTGGTTGAATTGATTGCTCTAAAATAAAAACAGCATATTAAATGGTTGCATACCAAAGCGAAACCAGACATTTAATATGCTGTTTTTTCAATTGTTTGTTCAGTTTTACTCTAACACAAAGAAAAAGAGTTTTTGAAGTGAAAATTCACAAAAAGGTCAAATTATGGATAAACCATAAATACCATGCCATGCACAAAAAATGGCAGAGAAGAACAAAATCCGAATCTTATTATTACGATTTGTGTTTGCAGATTAGAAAACCATAGAAATGAATCCCGTTTGTTGTCAGAAAATGAATTTGACATACTGATGTTTATGCAACAATGGCCTACTGGATACTGTATTAACGATAATGAGTGCATACCACCACCTGATAATGAGACTTGGGGAATTCATGGGATTTGGCCGAACAATCTGGACGGAAGTCATCCATCATTTTGCAGCGATTCATCTTCATTTGATATTGAATCTTTAAAACCATTTATGGAGCCATTGAAACAAAGCTGGTTTAGTTTGAAAGGTGATGTGATACATATTTACAAGAGTTTTTACACAAGATTTAAGAAAACAATACAAATAGATTGTTTGTTATATTGAATAGTATTTTGATCAACAACTATCGGTTGTGATTTTATTAATGTTTTTTATATCGATTCAATACCATTCACAGAAAAATTTATAGAAAAGTTTTGGCGACACGAGTGGTTAAAGCATGGAACTTTAACTAAAAGTCTTCCGGACCTAAATACAGAAGCAAAATATTTTGGACAAGGTTTGAAATGGTTCCAAAAATACCATATTAAAAATTTACTCACGCAAGCCAATATTAAGCCTGGCACAGACTACAATATTATTGATATTCATAATGCCTTGAAAAATGAATTGGACGCTGAACCAGAAATAGCTTGTCATAAAAAAGAAGATACTGGTGAACAATATCTGGTTGAAATCGGAATATGTTTTAGCAAAAGATTGGAATTGATCGATTGCGGTGATATTTTGATACCACCTACAGCAAACTATACGACAAATCATTTAATTCTTAGAAATTGTAATGCAGAGCAACCAATTTTATACCCAAGCACTTTCCAATAAATTTGATCGAGCAACAAAGAAATAAATTAAAAGCTTGCAAGTTTGAAGAAAGTCAATTTAACATTAAGTTTTTTAACATTCAAAACTTTCTAATCAAAGGTATTAGTATTCGCAGAGATTTCAAACCCCCTAATTCTATTGAGATTTGTGTCAAACACTCCAAATCGAAATCATTTTTCTTATTATTGAAATTTTTCATTAAAGAAAGGTTTTTCTGTAAATGCTACTTTAAAAACATTCCACCTTACTTCATCATTTTTGTATTCGATCGTATAAAAACAAAATTGTTGTTCCACGTGCATATCTATATACAAACTCGTGTTCGTTTTGACATATTTTTTTGCAAAAAATGCAACAAATTGCTGGATAAAAATAGCTTTAACTGTTTGGAATTTCAAACAATTAAAGTGTGTTTTATTGCATGTGCACATGTAACAGAATTTTATGGAAAATATCAATTGTGAAAAACGCAACAGAAATGGGGTAGATTATTAATAAAATTCAGAAAAATTGCATAAGAATGTCGAAATTCTTTATTCAATCTTCTTGATGATATTTAGAGCAATGTGAGGATGTAGAGAGCTCAAAGGGAACGTCAATGTAATTTAACAACTCAAATCGAAACTAAACAGCGCGCTAAGTTTGAAATGTGTTGATACATCCTCCCATTGATTTAGAGAGCAGTGAATAGATTGGGCTACAGCTATAGCAGTGCTATTTTCACAGCTCCTATTCATAGGTGCTATTTGTGAACAACGCATACGGGCAGCGATTTTATGATACAATTCCGGACAATAGACCTATTGATTTGTTTATGCAAAAAAAAAAATGTAAAATACTGAAATCAATTGAATTCTCTAGAATAAATACAGCGTATGATACGGTCGCACAACCAAAGGTTGTTTTTACATACATTTTTTGCTGTATTTTGTATGACGGTGTTTCGCTTTGAAATGCAACCTTTTCATACGCTGTTTTTATTCTAAAGCAATCAATTGTTCTATTTAAATTTTGAACATTTCGTTCGGAATTATATCATAAAAGCGCTGTCCGTATACGTTGTTCACAAATAGTACCTATGAATAGGAGCTGTGAAAATAGCACTGCTATAGCAGTAGCCCAATCTATTCACTGTTAGAGAGACAGAATATGTATAGTTCTGCAAAGCTTTCTATACTAAACATCAATTTTCAGTGGATTTTTTCCCTTTGGAAGTACGTGTGTTCAACGATAAGTTAATTAGGGCAATTAATTTTGAATAAACGTTCTTTTCTCCATCGATTTGAAGACAATTTCATAAATGAAGGATGAACCGTCCCATAGATTTTATCCACTACTGTCTACAAGGTTTAAACAGAAAATTCATAAAAATGAACAAACGATTACTTATCGCTTTTTTCACTTCATTGGTGATTGGAGTGTGTTTTGCGAATGGAGATGATTCCGTCGATATCTTCGGATTATAAGTCTTCACTAGCGGGTAATAATATTTTAAAAAAGATATCTGGTGCGCAGAATATTCCAATAAAAGTTTCACATCCTGAGTAATTTTGTATAAAGTAAATGTATAAATTACCTAATTTAGTCATTCAACATATTTGATTATTTTTTATTTCACTTTCATATTCCATAATCAAAAACTCATAATTTCTACAAATTTGACAAATCAAGAGGGATTTAAGATATAAAACACGGCGTTTTAGTTAAAACATCGTGAAACATCCTTTTTGAACACATATTGCATAAGAGCGGGCGACCGTTATAAGCAAAGTTGTATTGTAACACGAGTGAATTGTATAAGAAGTTTTTACTACTTTTCGCATTCCTTGCTCTTTGTTGTCGGGTGCGTGTGTTGTGATTGGTTCAAACACCGCTTCTGCAAAACTTGTTTCACATGAGGCACCATCTCCGATTGTGAAGAATAATATTTTCAAATCTATATTAAACACTGCACTCCAAGGAAATTTCAAAGAAACCAAGACAAGTTTCTGATGATTCGCAAAGAGAAGAATTTGTTGCATTATTCAGGAGGTCATATCAGAGCTTGAACGAGGAAAAAATAAGATATCTAATTCCTTTACTCGAAATGGTAATGCGCTAATAATAAGATTAACTACTGAATATCTAGTAGTTTTTATCAATATTTTCGTTACAACAATATAAAGAATAAGTCCTAAAGTGAGTATGATATAAATATATCAATGTGTGCTATGGTTTTTTTTTGAACGATTATCAGAAATATCGAAATATTATAACGAGATAAATAAATTATTTTGATCTAATGTATGGTTCTTTCCCTTTATGGAATTTTTTTAATAAATTCGCTCATGGTGTTAGTTTTCCTATATAAGCAAGAATGGTTATCGTTTAATTTACTTCATTTCTATTTATAAGTAAAGGGAACCGATCAATTCTGCAGTAAAGGGAACTGATCAACACCCAGGTGATGTAGCCGATATTTCCCAGAGAAAGGATTCTGCAAAATCAAATCAGCATTCGAATGTCCGCAATATCAAGGATGTACTACCTTTGCTACCAACTGTCGTACGTTATGCGAAAAGTCAATTATAACATTTCATTTTTTTTTGTTGCTGATACAGTAACGCCACAAATGATAATAGACGGGTTTTCAACACCCGATTGTGGCGCTAGTGTACGTAAACAATCATCTAAAATTATATGTACTTCTATACAATGCGCTCACTGTGTGGATTTATTGTTGATGTAACGTATTTTCGCAAAATAATATCATGTTTTTTGTCAAGTAGACTACCATGAATTCTTCTCTTTGTAATAAATATTATATATATATTGTATAACAATTTACACAGAATGTTTTGAATCTTACCAATCGTGGTGGCTTTATAAATATAAAACTTTTGAGATAGGGGTGACGTACAATGTGTGAGCAATGTAACTCTTTGTATGTAGATTCTAAAGAACTATGTAAATTTCTTATGAATACTTACATATTTAATCAAATTTAAAAGGTAAATAAAAAATTTCATTTTCATATAAAAATTATATAACCAAGAAAACACTAACACCATATGTATCATATTAAAAACAAATTCTTTTGAAATAAATTACAAATTGAATTCACCTGGTGTACGATAGTGTATGTTGTCAACGAATTGAGAAATATTCATATATAAGCAAGGTTTGTTATCGTTTAGTCTTCATTTCAATTAACAATACGAATTGTGTGCGAGTTTAAAAAATATCAAAATGATTGCTAAATCATTTGTCACTTTTTTGGCTATTTTGCTGATTGGCGTGTGTGTTGCATACGAGAACGGAAAAAAATCATCAAACGGATCTCCTAATACTTCAAGTGTGGGCGTTAATATTATTTCAAAAACTCTTTTGAATGCCGCTCAAAAAGCTCCAAATCCATTCGCACCAAATGCTGCAGTTAAGGGATCTAGTTCTTTATTAGCTGACGTGGTCGATATTTCCCAGAGTAAGGATTCCGCAAAACCAAACCAGCAATCGAATCCGAAAATGATAAAGGCAATCAAAACTGTAAAGAATATACTACCTTTGGTCGTTCATTATGCGAAAAGATAAATAAAACATTTTATCAAATAAAACATATTTTGTTGTTTGCTCATAAATTATTATAAGTTGCATATACGGTTGTAACTCATTTTCGCATGCAATAATATGTTTACTTTCCGATTTGAGATAAATAAAACTACAATCAATGGTCACAAGCCCATTTTAAATGAAAGTTTGGTCGTTTTTGTTCAATATGTTTACTGTCTACTAGACTGGTGTGAATATTACTTTTTATAAATGATCGGTCGAGTTGGTTCACAAATTCTATTGCAGTATTTTTCGAAACGTTTCTTATAAGACAAGTGGCAATACCATACTGTGGAAGCGATGTCACTTTCCTATACAAAATCACTACTGAACTTTGTTCAAGGTATTGACCCTCTATCAATGTTTTTGGTATTAATTTACTAAGCAGTTGTCTGTGAACGATACAAACTAGTGTATTATTGGTTCGGAGAAAAATTGTTAGTGGTGCTGGCGTTGGAACAAAGAAATTCATTTGCTTCAATCCTTTGGGCAATACTTTACATTATTAAAAAGTTTTAAAAAATGTTTAACTGTATTAGATATCGAATAAGTACATCAATCTAATATAAAAAGACACCCGACACGTTTAAGTTTAGTTCACCACAAATTCTAATCATACGATACAAAAAGAAGAGAATATTAAGAAAAGGGCAAAGTTCTTATTTGTTACATTATTGGCTTTTTAAGCTGCCATGTGCTTTGCATGTCAAACTGATACTTCAAAAAATTCGATAGTTGCCAACAATATTACAAACTAAGGAACCACCAGTTCTGACCAAATCAACGACAGATATTTCAAATAAGCGCATTGAAGCTGCCGGTGCTTCCCAAGGTGCAGAAAAATCAACTGAAAAACGTTATCAATATGACAGTGAGGAAGAGCGGAAGGATTATTTGATTAAACATTTTGCCCATGAGCTTACCATAGCAACGTTTTACAACTGAATACTTGAATATGAATAAAATATACTATTTCCACAAAAGAATCATCTGTGTTTCATTTAATTTGAACGACTGATAAAATATATGAATAAGTATCACTTTTTGGAATGTGCAACATCTGTAATTTTTTAGTTTAAACACAAAACCGTGTTTTAAAAATATATAAGAGTCACCAATTGGATACAATTTAGTTATTAGTTTACTTGAGTTTACAAAAGAAAAGACGAAAGGAAAAATTAAAAAAATTTGGAATTTATCTGTACAATTTATTGTAATTTTATTGATTGGAGCAAGTGCTGCGGATTCAGAAAAGAATAGTCCGAATTAAAAACCTTCAATTGTAGCTAACAATATCATTTCTAAAAAGATACTAAATACCGCGCAGAATATTCCTATTCCAAATCTTCTTGCTAAAAGTGCACCTGTTGAGAGTACAGCTAAACCCGCAAAAGATGTACCTAAAATTTCTCATAAAGTATCAGAAGTTCCTAAAATTACTAATAGACCAAGAGCCACTCTAACAAGTAACTTTTTTTTTTTGCTTTATGTCAGAAAACTATATTGAACCATGCAGCTAGACATACATCAAACAAATAATTTTACGTTTATTACTTCAGCCACCCACTTCGTGAAATCTGCACTATTATTCGCGCATAGAAAACACATCAATTAAAAAAGCGAGCTGCATGTTTGATTTTCTGGAATATATTTTTTTTTTGCTCAAAGATTCTTCGATTAAAATTTCTGCATGAAATTCCGCATTAAAAAACTATCAACTTTTTTGTCAGCTTTATGTCTGAAATTTTAAACATCGATTTTTTATCATAAAATAACACTAAATTATAAAAATCTGCACTTAAATACACATATTTATTGTTTTCTGCATAAACAAAATTACATGTTTGTATATATGTAAATGCTGCTTGACAGCTCAAATGAGTGCGTTCAATGTGTCATATTGAGTGTTTTCAATATATATATGGTTCAATATAGTTTTCTGACATAAAGCAAAAAAAAAGTTACTTGTTAGAGTGGCTCTTGGTCTATTATCAACAGAATGCAAAAAAATCATCCAAAACTTTGATTTCTAATACGTGGATGGACATATAATTCTATAAACAATATAATTTTGTGTTAGCAGGTTGAAAAAATGGGCCGACCATAGTTTTCTAAAAATGAAATTCATTCATTTAAAGACAAACAGTTGATCTTTTCTCAATTCACTTTTTAAGTCAATTTAAGTCTTGATAACTATCG